CTGTTTCAGCTGGGCCTGGTGACTGTCCCCCTTGGTCTCAGGACTCTGCCGGCCTCTTCTGTCCTGCACTGTCCTTTTCAGCCCAAAAGGCGTTCTTCTTGGCCGAGAAGAGAGAGGAAGGGGAGAATTGGGGAACTCTGCTTTCCTCCTTCCAGCCACCTCCCCATTCCATCTGCCTCAAGCCGTGGTCCTACCCCTTCTCGGGTCTCCTCTCCCCCGACAGGCCTGTGCCTGTCGTCCACGGCTCTCCTGGCCAGCTCTATCCCAGTGTCCAGATGGCTGGGCTCCGGTCACGCCTCACTGGACAGGGCCACCCTCTTGTGTCTGCGGCTGTCACCTCCCCCACTTCCCCTTCTACGCATATCTTTTAGAGCCACGGAAACCCTGGCTAGCGGCATCCTGTTTGTTTGTTTGTCTCAGACAGCTTCCCCCTTTCCCTCCTTATCTGAATTTTTATCTTTAGCATTTGTTTCTTGGGAGCATCCCAACATTCCTGGGTTGACTCCACCGCCCCTGCCTATCCTTCCTTGGAAATCCAGGGCAGGGCACGTGACAGACCACGACTGGTTTTTCTTTCCTTCGTGATCACAGACTCAGACATGTATGAGGGTGTCTTCTCTATCCCCACCTGGTTTCCCTGATTTCTCCTCCAGTCACCAGAGATAGAGACAAAGAGACAGAGAGGGAGAGATAGACAGAGACAGAAAGGGGAATACAGACAGACAGAAGGAGGAAACAGACAGAAAGTGAGACAGAGACATAAAGAGAAGAGATAGAGACAGAGAGACAGACATGGAAAGAGAAAGAGACAGAAACAGAGAAAACCAGATGGAGACTGAGACAGAGAGAGACAGAGAGAAAGAGAGAGGGGAGAGACAGACAGACAGAAGGAGCAGGCAGAGACAGATGCAGAGTGGGACAGAGACAGAGAAAGAGAGAGAGAGACAAAGACAGAGAAAGAGAAGAGATAGAGACAGAGAGACAGGCATGGAAAGAGACAGAAACAGAAACAGAGAGAAACAGACAGAGACTGAGACAGAGAGAAAGAGAGAGGGGAGAGACAGACAGAAGAAAGAGGCAGAGACAGATTCAGAGTGAGACAGAGACAAAGAGACAGAGAGACAGAGATGTAGAGAAAGAAGGGGGAGAGAGAGAGACAGACAGGTAAACAGACAGGATGTTGGCTGGCTGACTAAAGACTTCCTTCTCTCCTCCCTCCCCCTGCCCAGGATAACTATTCACCCTGGGAGACCCACCAGGGACCCAGCAGAAAGCCCAGCGGTGTGAGCCCACAGCACACACATAGGCTGGTGTGGCCAGGCCTGCTCCCCTTCAGGGGTGATCTCTCAGACGTCAGCCTCTAGGAAGCTCAGCTGAGGGGCCGGCTCTCCCCTTAGAGGGGTGGCTGCTGCCATCTCTCTTTTAGCTTAGAGCCCAGAGGCAGAGCTTCAGGTCTTTAAGAACAGCAGGACCCTCAAACACTCAGATATGACATTAGGGGACACTTGCTTTCTCTGCTTCAGGAGGTAGACCCCCCATTCCCCAGCGCCTTAGCCTCCGGGGGCTCCTGGCTCTCTTAGAACAGAACAGTCTGCTAACTGGAGCCCCTGCCTGCTTTGTAATCTCCTTCCTCCTACTCCCAGGACTGATGTCTCCATCCCCAGCCTCTATTTGACTTAAGGTTAGAAAGTCCTTATGGCTCCTGGTTAACCTCTTAGGGAATCTTCTACCCTAAAAACCCACTTCAAGGAGCTTTACCAGTAAAGTCTTGGAGGAATTGTGTGCATTTGAAGCACTGTGGTTTCTTCTGGCCCCTCAAAATCCTTTGACCTTTCCATACAAATGAATGGATGAGGGAAAAGACAGCCCCACCATGTGCCTCTCTCCTTATGTCTCAGACCTTGTTCTGAAGTTCTACCTTGTAGGGGCAGCTAGGTGGCGCAGTGGATAGAGCACCGGCCCTGGATTCAGGAGGACCTGAGTTCAAATCTGGCCTCAGACACATAACACTTACTAGATGTGTGACCCTGGGCAAGTCACTTAACCCCCATTGACTAGCCAAAAAACAAAGTCCTACCTTCTACATGCAAGCATGGCTAGCAACCAAACCTCATGTGCTTCAAACTAACCCCCATTCCCAAGTCTGGAATGACACGCTGATCCCTCCTGGCCCCCTGGGCACTGTGGTTCCCCGTGGCTGGGCCAGGCCTGTTCCTTAGCTATGTCCTCTTTCTGCCCCGGTGGTCTCTTGTATGCTTCCAAGGAAATATTACCTCTCTCTTTGTCTCCACTGATTTTTGTTCAATGCTCTCCACCATGCACAACCCCATCTTGGGCCTGGATGTCCTCACCTAAGCATATTCCCTTAATAGATGGTGTAGCCTGGCCCCACCCCCACCCCATAACCACTCCCTTTGCTCATCCTCTGACTTTTGGATTAGGCACAACCCAGACTTGCACCACAGTGGCCGGGAGTCAGGAAGACCTGAGTTCAAATTTGACCTCAGACACCTGTTGTGTGATCCTGCAAGGTACCTAACCTCTGTTTGCCTGTTTCTTCATCTGCCAAATGGGCTCATAAGAGCACCTGCCACCAGAATTGTTGTGAGGATAGAATGTGATAATGAATGGGCCTTCTCTCTGGACACGCTCGCTACTGTGACCAGTACTTTGATCATCCCTGAGTCTGTTCTCGCGCCAACCTTCCTTTCCATGTGCCAGCAACAGCAGAAGCATCGTCAGGCCCCTATCCTCTTTGGCCAGGCTTTCTAGCTTTCTTTGGACACTCTGCTCGTGCCCACAGGGGCCACCAGAAGGTTCACGAACTTGGCTGACTCTGGCCCCACACCCCACCCTCGGTGAGGACACGGGACTGGTCTGTTAGCTCCTCAGGCAACGCCTCGCCTTTCCTCACACCCTGGAGTTGGGCTCCCTGTCTTCTAGACTGGGGCTCCCTGAGGGGAGGGCTGTCTGTCCCCTTTCCTCAGATCGGGTCTCTGGACGCCACGTGGGCTCTGATCTTGTGGACGCCACATAGACCCTGACCACTGGGCTCCTGAACACCCCCACCGTGAGGGACCTGACCTTGGAGCCTTCCCTGTAAGGGGAGACCAGTTTACCCGGAGGCACCACCAGAGGCCATTCTGGCCAGGACAGATGGTGGCGTCGAGGCTCAGCGCGGGCCTCCTCTAGGACCGTGCTGAGCCTCAGGTGGTGACCCTGGCCCACATGCGGCTGCCCACACACAGGCCAGAGGGAGCTCGTGCTCCCACAGCCCGCCCTCCCCATGGGCCTTCAGACAGGGCCCTTCCTAGGACCAGGTCACCGCACACTCCTCTGGAGCCTCCGGGCTCTCTGTGCAAGGGGTCGCTGTGAGCAAAGCTTTAGAATGCTCAAACGGCTCTAGAACTGAGAGTTACCGGCTCGTTTCAGGTTACGGCTGGGCCTGGGCCTGGGATCTCACTGAGAGAGGGGACTCCCAGGCAGAAAATGCCCCCTCCCGGCGCAGGGCTTGGACGCAGGCCTTCCTGGCGTTGAGGCCAAATCTCTCTCCTTGTCTCTCCCTGTCTCTGTCTCTGTGTCTCTCTCTGTCTTTGTCTCTCTCTGTCTCTGTCCCTGTCTCTGTCTCTCCCTGTCTCTCTCTTAGCCTCTGTCTCTCTTTGTCTCTGTCTTTCTCTTTGTCTCTGTCTGTCTTTGCTGCTGTCTCTCTGTGTATCTCTCTGTCTCTCTCTCTCTCTGTCTCTATCTCTGTCTCTGTCCCTGTCTCTTTCTCTCCCTCTCTCTCTGTCTCTGTCCCTCTCTCTCTCTCTGTCTTTCTCTGTCTCTGTCTCTCTCTTAGCCTCTGTCTCTCTTTGTCTCTCTGTGTCTCTTTGTCTCTGTCTCTCTGTCTCTGCTGCTGTCTCTGTGTGTCTCTCTCTGTCTCTTTCTCTGTCCCTGTCTCTCTCTGTCTCTCTCTCTGTGTCTCTGTCCCTGTCTCTATCTCTGTCTCTGTCCCTGTCTCTCCCTCTCTGTCTCTGTGTCTCTGTCCCTCTCTCTCTCTCTGTCTTTCTGTCTCTGTCTCTCTCTCTGTCTCTATCTCTCTCTGTCTCTCTCTGTCTCTCTCTGTCTCTCTCTGTCTCTCTCCTCTCTTTATCCTCTCACCTCCTTTCTTTCAGCCACCCCTCTCCACCATGGCAGCCGTGTCTCCAATTACCCTCCTCTCCATTACTGTTAATATTATTTCCTCAGCCTTCTATGCCCAGCCCCCCTCCCCTGGCCCGGAGGAGAGAGACGCTGCCAAGCAGCAGGGAACGTACTCTGCCTGTGCCCCCAGGGGTCCCTGCCCCCCAGGGCCTGGCATCACCCCCCCAGCTCTCGCCAGGTTGGCGGCAGGAAGCTGAGAGTATTGGCGTGGTGCCCTTGGGTCCATCACCACTTCCAGGAAGAAATCCAGAGCCAGCTCAAGATATACTTTGCAACTCTAGGTGCAGGGGGAGAGGATGTGCTCCTGCCCTTCACTGCCCTGGAAGTCTGAGCCAGGCTCCTGGGTCCCCTTGGAGTTTCTCCAGGTCAGCGCCACCTATATCCACACCCATCACCTCTCCCCACCCACTGTGACCCAGAGGGCCTGCCTCCTTCAGGAAGCCCTCCTGGTTGGCCCTGGGAAGAAATGCTGCCCTCCCCTCCTGCTGCTGGTCTTTCCATCCCTTGAGCCTTCCATAGACCCCTGAGGGTGCAATCAAGGTGGGCGGGAGCCTCATCCCACCCTCACTGGTGCACTGTCCCCGTGAATACCTACACCGCAGAAATAGGCAAATGCTTCAAATCTGGGCTGGAGGGATTGTTTGTGGGCTGTGCAGACTTGAGAATGTGATTGAAAACATTCATAATGCAGATTAAACATCGGGCCTGAGTCGTTCCCCCTGCCCCCCCCAGAGCCGGTGGTTAAACACTTACAGGCAGGCCCCTGGTCCAACTCAGAGCGCAGAGCCTGTCTGAAAAGTTGAGGAGGCCTCACTCACCTTGGACGGCTCCCGGTATCTCCAGAAGGTCACCTGCACCGCCACCAAGAACACCAGGGTGAAGGAAAGGAAGCCCTGGGGAGACAGAAAAAAGGCAGAAGGACATTGGTTTGGCTGGTCCAGAAAAGCCCCAGGGAGCAGCGGAAGCAGGAGGAGGAGGCCTGGGTGGCCCCCCAGCCCAGAGACGCTCCCTGGCCTCAGCGCCTCTCCCTGCTAACAACAACCAGAAGGAGCACGGGGTCCCGGGATGACATCATCGTCCTCGGCCACTCAGAGTGCCAAGGCTTAGCACGCAGGGATCCTTTCCTTCTTTGTCCTTGGGTCCCCAGCACCTGGCACCACACCTGGCACACAGCTGGTGCTTAATAAATGCTTGCTGATTAACTGATTGATTTCTATTCACACTGAGCCCTGAGATCCGCCAAGTGGCCAGCTTCCTTGGAGTGGCTCCATACAAGGATGGGCGTATCAGGGTAGAGAGATACCTCAGACCTCTGGGTGTGAAGGCAGCCCCCCCACCCCCAGGCTCCTCTTCCAGCTCTGCCACTAACTTCTCTCTGTGACCCCCTCTCTGGGCCTCAGTTTCCCCATGTGTAAAGCCAAGGGGTTGTCCTGGCTGGTCCCTCAGGCCCCTCCCAGCTCCGACAGCCAGTGAGAGAAGGGAGAATGCAGATCTGGGCAGCCCAGGGTTGATGAGGACAGCGCCAGTAAGCAGGTGGTGGCCACCGCTCAGTTGGTGACCCTCCCCCCTCACCAAGCCTGGCCAAACATGATTCTCCTACTGCAAGGAAGAGGGGATGAGACAGTTGTCGAGTCCTGGATTTGTATTTAAAGGCCAGGCAGATGCAGCCAAACCCTAGAGGGAGAGGAACCTCCCGGCCAGCTCTCCCAGGCGACCCTTCTCCGAGATAAATAGGAAATGGATGCTAATCTCTGGCCAGGAGCCGATTCTTAATACAAAGAGGTCAAAGGATGATGAAATACAACTATCCACAGTCATGTGAAAAATATGAGTAGAAATGCAAATTCAACCAACCTCAGGGTTTGACCCCCTTCCACCCCATCTGCTGGTCAGGGTCCAGGGGAAAGTGGGCCGGGCTAGGCTGGGCGGGACTCAGCTCCTCTGGAAGCCGATGGGGCACCCAGGCCTCCCACCCTGGGCATCTGCCCCAGGGGGCCGGAAAGAAAGATCCCCAGAAGAACCAGCCCCCAGCCACACTCAGTGGGGGCAGCAAAGGAGCATAAAGTGGGGCCAGAAAGAATTAGAAATTGAGAGGACGCCCATCGATTAGGGAATGGCTGAACAAGTTGTGGTATATGAATGTAATGGAATACTATTGTGCTATAAGAAATGGTGAGCAGGCAGACTTCAGAAAAACCTGGAAAGACTTGTATGGTCTGACGCCGAGTGAAGTGAGCAGACCCAGGAGAACGTCGTAGACAGTAACAGCCATGTTGTGCGATGACTAATATTGATAGACTCAGCCCTTCTTATCGATACAAGCGTCTAAGACATCTCCAAAGGCCTCATGATGGAAAATGCTATCCACAAAGAAGAAAGAACTATGGAGTTTGAATGCAGATGAAGCATACTCTTTGCTATTTTTTTCTTCTGTTGTGTTCTATTTCCTCTTTCTGGTGGTTCCTCCTATTGGTTCTAATTCTTACCTACAACATCACTAATGTGAAAATATGTTGAATAGGAAGGTATATGTATAGCCTACATCAGATTGCGAACCATCTTAGGGAGGGTGCTGGGGAGGGAGGGGAAGAAAAATTTTAAAGTCAAAAGCATATGGAAGGGATTGTTGATAAATCAAAATAAATTAATTTAAAAAACAAAAACAAAAACAACAAAAAACAAAGTGGGGCCAGGAACGGAATGAGGGTTAGGGTGGGCTCTGTGCTCTGAGGCACAGTAACCGTGAGGGATTTGGAGAAATATAGGAAACACGTTCCGAGGTGTTGGGTTAGGAGAACTCCAGGTTACAACAGCATGAAAGGAAACATCGAAGCTGCTCCTGGGCCCAGGTTAACAGAAGAGACCCAGAGGTCAGATAAGGACGGGACACTGGGGAGAAGCAGTGTGCTCCGGGAGGAAGGCACAGGAGTTGGGTTCTGATCCTGGCACAGCTGCTTGCTACCCAGGTTCTGCTCTCCTCTCTGGGCCCCAGGAACTTAACCCTAAAAAATGAGGGGGGGTTCTCCTTCAGCTTACTCTCAGGAGCAAAAGGGGAGGGCAGAGACTGGAGACGAAATATGGCAGGTGCATGGTCAGCCATAGGGCCAGGCTGGACCAGATAGTTTGGTTTGAATGATCTCCTGTCTGAGGGGTGCGGGGAAGCCACCCAAAGGGCAGACATAGACTGGGGGCCAGGCAGATCTTCCTTGCAGTGGGAGCTGGTCCAAAGTGGCAGGTACTGCCTTGAAGGGGAATGAGTTCCTCATTCCTGGACACCTTTGAGAAGAGCCTGGATGACCATTTGTCTGGTACCGGTCAACGAGGGCTCTGGCTCAGGTCTGGGCGGGGCGCACTGACCCCCAAGGCCTCTTTCGGCCAGGAGAGTCTGCAATAGAATATAAGATACCCTGGACCCAGTGTTTCCAGCCTTGCTCAGCCTTGGTGCCCTCATCTGGATAATGGGGCTGGTGATCCTCTGCTGACCTCTCAGGGGTGTTGTGAGCCAAACACTTTACCAACCTGAGAGCCCGAGAGAAAAGGGAAGCAACGTCCTTTCGGCCCCTGTCACATACCCATGGCCCGAGCACAGGGCAGGTGCTAGGCTGGGTGTGTATAGAGGCTGGAAAGGTTTCACAGGCTGAGGATGGGAAGGGTGTCTCGATCCTTGGCCAGGGGACGGCTGAGGCACTCCAGGCCCTGGAAAGGTGAGCTGTGTAGTGGACCAGGGACAGTTCTCTGGGGGTTACCAGAGCCTGCCCAAGCGTCCCTGAGTTCCCTTTCACCCCGCCATCCCTGCTATCAGATTCCCCTTCCCAGGTGACATGATATGAGGAGGAATTCAGGAAATCGATCCTGGCTGGGCCACAGCTGGAACCAGGCACCCAGGGCTTCTAACGTGTCGACCCCTCCTTCGGGAAGCATGACCCTGCCTCCTAGGGCCCTGTTGTCCCAGAGCAAGCCTGGCAGAGACTGGAGGGACCTTCAAGCAAAGGCCCCGACCCTGAGCCTCAAAGGCACTCCGGGACCCGGCCTATGGGTGGCCACCCAGATCCCCGGTGCTGCCTTCTCACCCCATCACCTCTTTGGCGCACTGGTCCATCTGCCAAGCTCCTGGGCTGCACCAAAGCTAGGGCCCCCGTTTCCTCTGTGGACACACATGCCCTGCCTGCCAAACACCCGCCCCAGGCCACACCGCCTGTCTAGTCCTTGGGCCTCAGCGGTCCCGAGGATGGGAGGCCAGTGGCCGACCAGAGCCACTGCCTGCTGGAGGTGCTTCCTGCAGCCCCTGTCTCTGTTAGGCCCTGGCGCTCGCAGGACTCAGATTACGAGCTACAAGGGCACTTCCGTGGTATCTGGTCTAGCCCCGTACTACAAAGGAGGGAGGGAGGGGCTTGCCCAGTCATTCCTTGTGGGGCCTCCTCCTTGGCTGCCTCTAACTGTGTATGTATGCGGAGAGGTGAGATCGCGGGACCCGAATCACCACCACCGCAGCCCTGCCAGAAAGGCTGGCCCCGAATCAGTCAGGAGAGCAGCAAGGAACAGCAAGGCACCTGGAATCTGGGGTCAGAGCCGGGAGCTCTGGGTTCCAATGCCGCCTCAGACGCTGATGAGCTGTGTGTCTCTGGGCAGGTCACTTACCCTAGCCTCATTTTCCTCATCTATCAGGTGAGGGCCGTAATGGCCAGCGACGCCCAGGGTTGTTGTAGGGACCAATGAGAGATGTGTAAAGCGCTCAATGCAGAGCCTGGCACATAGTAGGTGCTCTGCAAATGCTGGCGGCTTTTATTATTGTTGTTGGATAATATTTGTAGAAACGCTTTGTAAACTTTGAAGTATGGTGTAAAAACAAACTGTTGTCATCACCTCACTTTATAGATGGGGAAACTGAGACCCAGAGAGAAGGCTTTGTCCCAAGTCTAGAACCCAGATTGGAACTCAGCTCTCCCATTCTCAGATCCAGGGTGCTTGCCACTAGAACAGATCCTGACTTCTCGATAAAGAAACCCTTAGTGTAACCCCTAGAAGGGAGCCGCAGATGCTCCCAGAGGTCCCTGCCAGTCAGGTGTGGGGTGGACGGCTGCACCAGGATGGCCCGCCAGGAGCCCATCTGGAGGCGTCTGCCCCATTCCCCCAGCAGCCAGGGGCCTCTGGGGCAGAGCAGAGGGGGGTGTCCCTCCCCTCCCCTCCCCCGGCCTCCCCTCGGCCGCCCACCCTGACCCATCCTGAGGCCTCCGAGGCCCAGGGGTGCCTGAGGGACTGCTCCAGCCACCCCAGCAGCTTCCAGCAGACAGAGCTCAGTCTCCCTGCTGGGGCTCCAGCAGGGTGCTGGAGTAAGATGTGGGTCCAGGCCTAGCCTCAGCCTTCTGAACTGGAACAAAAGCGGCCAGGTTGGTGTTTTTCTGGCCCTCAGCCCCGACGTCCTTCACCCTCCAAGGCCTTGCATTTCCTGAGGAACTGACCCCCTGCGAGGAGCAGCCTTGGGAGGTCAGGGCAGGAAGAGGCACCCCCCAAGCTCCTGTTTTCTGGGGCTGGGAGGTCCTGGCTCACCAGGAATAACCTAACGTGGGAACACCACCTCTTCAGACTTTAGAACAAAGCTCCATGAGCCCAGAGTGGGGGTTCCAAGGAAGCGAAGAAAGAATCGAAAGTTTGGGTGACTGAAAAGGCATGAGAGCCGGAGACAAGGTATGCGTCTGACGTCGTGGGCGCTGTCCTCTCCTTGGCCCATCCTGAGAAGGGGGCCTGGGTGGCCCTGGACAGCTCCAGCCTCCCAGCACAAAGGAGGAAGCCGAGACCCCTTCCCTCCCTTCCATCGGCTCGCCAGCTGCCCACCGAGCCTGACTGGGTCCCCCCAGCAGCTGATTCTCCTCCCTGGGACCCCAGGACACTTGGA